GACCTTTCGGAGTTGTTGAAGGGATCAGAGAGAACGTGCTTGGGGCTCAGAAAATGTGGGCTCTTAGGTGTTGTCACGAAGGCTTTCTCATTTTTTTCTCACGCACAATTAACCCTGCGAAGGAGCGGTATCCACACTTCAGTGCTCAGAGCAGAAGCCACTAGGTAGCGGTCATGTCAGGACTTGCAGGCTGGCCTGAGATCGTCAGGTTTGCAGCTGTCGTCCAGGGAGGCAGGGTGGTCTGGAGGAAAAGCACACGTATCAGGTGAAAGACTTTCCAGGGAAGTTCCACACACCCCTCCAGGGAACAGCTGGTGAATCCCACAAAGTGAACACTCCACGTGGCCAGCGCCTGAGAGACCTCCACACCCCGTCCAGTGTGACTGCCATCCCAACTTCAAGCATCACACATATGCTCCCCCTCCTTTTTTGTTTTAAATTTAAATGTGTAAACTGAATTTCACATTACGTGAGATTTTCCCATGTTGATTGGGTTAGGGTTTGCTGCTTCTGCTGACCATGTAGCATTCCACTGTGTGACTTTCCTACCTTGTACCCATTGTCCGGCAGGGCACATGGATGTTTCCGGGTCGGCTGGGACAGACAGGGCTGTTACGACAGCTGGTCTCATCTCTCCGCGAACTCGTGTATTTTTCTGGTTTGTACACAGAGAGGACTGGAATTGCTGGAGATGGGTCCGGTTTAATTAGGCCTCTTGCCGCTCACTGGTTTTGTGAACCGAAGCACGTCATATACCTTCTCTGAGACCCACTTTTTGTATGTGTATGTTGGCAATAAAAATGCTTGCTCCTCAATGTGGTGGCCAGGATTTCATAAAGTGGTATCTGCAAGGCACCTGGCCCCAGTGTAGCTGCCTCTCTTTCCCTCCTCCTGTGCCCTGCTAGAATCCCGCGATCCTAGGACACGGCTTTGCTGCTAGGCTCCCCCTCCACCGGGAATCCTGCCCATGAACTTGGGCAGCTTGCCTGCTGGTGGGGCTGCCTTTACCCGGCCCGTTTGCCAGCTCTCCTTTGTGACTCCGTCACTGGCGCCCAGCCCAGCACTTGCTGTGGCCACTGTCACTGGTAACAAACGTTTTTATGATGGCCCCCGTAAGAGCGTGGCTACCAGCAGATGTGTTCTGGAGTCAGGCCCGGTGGAGGCCAGGAATGAGGGCTGAGGGGAGGGGAACAGATGGCTGAGATCCAGCTCAGGAATGCAGTTGAACAGGCATTCCTCTTGCCTGGTCTTTCTCCCCCACCCCAGATCTCCAGGCACAAGTTTTCCTCCAGTCCCTGTGTTTCCTTCTCTTCCTGAAACACCCTGCAGTCAGGCCACGAGGGTGACAGCGGGCCAAGTGGGGAACCTGCCCCCAGGGGCCTCTGTCAAGACAGTGCTGACTTCGGTTGTCGTACAGTGGCAGCCTGGAGCCTGGTGTTGAGGAGGATTCTGAAGGTACCATCCAGGCTCAGGAGAGAGTGCTGTGGTTGATTAGTTATGTCTGTCAGGTGCACGGAAGTGGGTGGTGGTGATGCAAATTTCACAGGTTCACTACTGTCTGGCTAGTATCGATCAGAATGGACTTGTGTTTGATTTACGGAGATGAATGAATGTTTTTAAGGAGGTGTTAAATCCTTTTACATTTGTATGAATATTGTTTTTTAAATACATTTTATTGATTATGCTATTACAGTTGTCCCATTTTCACACCTTTATTCCCCTCCACCCTGCACACCCCTTCCCACCAGCATTCCCCCTTTAGTTCATGTCCATGGGTCGTACATATAAGTTCTTTAGCTTCTCCATTTCCTATACCATTCTTACCCTCCCCCATCTATTTTCTACCTACCATCTATGCTACTTATTCTCTGTACCCTTTCCCCCTCTCTCCCCCTCCCACTCCCCACTAATAACCCTTCATGTGATCTCCATTTCTGTGATTCTGTTCCTGTTTGGGTTTTTGTTTTTTAGGTTGGGTTGTTAATAGCTATGAGTTTGTTGTCATTTTAGTGTTCATATTTTTTTTAATCTTTTTCTTAGATAAGTCCCTTTAACATTTCATATAATAAAGGCTGGGTCCTTTAACCTGACCTTATCTGGGAAGCTCTTTATCTGCCCTTGTATTATAAATGAAAGCTTTGCTGGATAGAGCAATCTTGGATGTAGGTCCTCACCTTTTGTGACTTTGAATACTTCTTTCCAGCCCCTTCTTGCCTGCAAGGTCTCTTTTGAGAAATCAGCTGACAGTCTTATGGGAACTCCTTTGTAGGTAACTGTCTCCTTTTCTCTTGCTGCTTCTAGGATTCTCTCCTTATCTTTAACCTTGGGTAATGTAATTATGATGTGCCTTGGTGTGTTCCTCCTTGGGTCCAACTTCTTTGGGACTCTGAGCTTCCTGGACTTCCTGGAAGTCTATTTTCTTTGCCAGATTGGGGAAGTTCTCCTTCATTATTTGTTCAGATAAGTTTTCAATTTCTTGGTCTTCCTCTTCTCCTTCTGGCACTCCTATGATTCAAATGTTGGAACATTTAAAGTTGTCCCAGAGGTTCCTAATGAAGAGAGGTGCCTCTCTTCATTTTTTTGAATTCTTGTTTCTTCATTCTGTTCTGGTTCAATGTTTCTTTCTTCCTTCTGCTCCAAACCATTGATTTGAGTCCTGGTTTTCTTCCCATCGCTGTTGGTTCCCTGTAGATGTTTATTTCACATAATTCGACCTTCATTGTTGCCTGGGTCTCTTTTATGCTGTTGAAGTGCCCATTGAGTTCCTGGAGCATCCTGACCACCAGTGCTTTGAACTGTGCATCTGATGATTACCTATCCGTTTGTCGCTTAGTTGTATTTTTTCTGTAGCTTTGATCTGTTCTTTCATTTGGGCCTTTTTTTTTTTTTTCCCTTGGTGCTCCTGTTATGTATGAGGGGCGGAGCCTTAGGTGTTCACCAGAGCTGGGCAACCCAGTTGCTGGGTTGTGATGCTATCTGTGGGTGAGGAGTCCAAGAGGGAACAATGGCACTTGCTCCGCTCTCTGCCGGATTTCAGTCACTTTCCCTGCTTCCCACAAGCAAAGTGGGCCTTTCTGGTGTTGACTCCTGGGTGGTCTGGCTTGTGTACATTATGGGACTCTGTGGGTCTCTCCAAGGAACTCTCCTGTGAGGCTGGGAGCTTCTCCTGCTGCTGCCTCTACCCCCACAGGTGTTTTCAACCAGAGGTTTGAGGCCTTATTTCCCGTTGCTGGAACCCTGGGTTGTGCGGTCTGTCTCACTCCCCAGTTGTTCCTCCTGGTTTACCTGCAGGCGAACGTGGGACCGCCTGGTCTGCACACAATCCACCACTTCGCGGCAAGTCCTCTTTGCCTGGCTGCCCAACTCTGCCCCTCATACAGGTCTGGGTGACTGTTTCTTCTTTAACTTCTTGGTTGTTGGACTTCCATACAGTTCAATTTTCTGTCAGTGCTGGTTCTTTTTATATTGGTTGTTGTCCTTGTTTTGGTTGTGCGAGGAGGCACAATGCGTCTACCTACACCTCCATCTTGGCCGGAAGTCCTCAAGAAGAAATTTTTAATCCTTTGGAGAATCAGTTGAAGGGGTCAGGGGTGGCCAAGTTATGATTACTTTATAAAAAGCTTAGCAGTTAAGATTTCCTCCTGATAGAACTTTCAAGACTTAGGTCGTTTTGGTGTTGTTTAAAAATAGGTATTTTATTTTTAAAAAACAATTTCTTGATTAACTTTAGAGAGGAAGGGGAGAGAAGGAGAGAAACACTGATTTGTTGTTTCACTTATTTACACACTCACTGGTTGATTCCTGTATGTGCCCTGACTGGGGATTGAACCTGCAACCCTGTCATATCGGGACACTGCTCCAACCCATGCTACCTGGCCAGGGCTAAAAAATAGGCATTTTAATTTTTTGACCAGATACTGCATTCACATGCATTCACATGCATCCATTCACATGTAAGTGGCACTGAAGGGCCTGGAATAGCAAGTGCTTCCCCCCCTTGACCCGCAGTCACCTCGGTCCCTTCCCCGGGGGAGGCCCACTGCCCGTGGTGAGTGAGAAGCCCAGCCCTCTCCGTAAGGGGTCAGATGGCAAGCTTCAGGCTTTGTGTGTCTCCTCAAGGAGGAACCGTGTGCAGATACAAGCACACACCTCTACGTGTCCTCTCTCACAATGGTCCAAAAACGGCGGCGTGATATGGAGAATGTTCTGGACTTGGCCTTTACCAGTTCAACCAGGCTTGGCAAACTATGATCCACAGGCCCACAGGCCCAATTCAGCCCGTCACCAGCTTCTGGAGTGTTCTTGGGCTGCACGTTCATGTCCGTTCGTCGTGGCTGCTTTCATGCTACTGGGGCAGAGCAGAAGGCTTGTGACAGAGACGGCATGGCTCATGAAGCCTGAAATAGTTCTTCTCTGGCCCTTTAGAGAAACCGTTTGCTGGCCTCTGTGTGAAACAATGTGCCTTAGCCTTTTCGTGTTCATACAGAAGGAGCCCCCACCGCCCCCGCCACTCTTCCTCAGGGCAGCAAGCTCTTCCATTTTATGGCCACACCATCCTTCATTTCCCCAGCCCTCCTGCTGGGTGTTTAGGTCATTTCTGACCTTTTGTTTTGCTCCAAAGAATGCTGCAACGAATAACCTTATGCTTACCTCACGTTCCACAAGCATGCATATACTTGCAGGCTGAACTCCTAGCAGTGGGAGTGCTCCAGCAAAGCACGGTGCACCGGTTATTCTGAGAGCTCTGGTCAAATTATGCTCCAGGGAAGTTTACCAACTAACCTCACCAGTGTTATAAAAGTGATCCTTTGCCCATCTGCGCCAGCAGAATGTTCTTAAGACTTTTGATCTTTACCAATCTGCTTAGGTGGAAAGAAAAGGAAATCCCAGTGTAGTTTGCTTTGCATGCCTTTTTTTCTGGCGAGTTGCATCTCCTTCCGTGCATGTAAGAGGCCGGTGGCTCCTTTCTGCTGCTGGCTGGAGGATCTTCTGGGGGGTGGTCATGGATGGGGCAGGTGGTCCTCTTTTCCACAAACAAGCTTCTGGGGCACAAAAGTCTTAAGGACAAATACAGGATGGCTGTTAGTGTCATCAACGTTCCAGACATCGGGGTTGGGGACCCAGGGGGACTCTGGAGGGGCGCTCCCATTCTGCTCTGGACTTGGAAAGCTGACTTTCCGAGGGCTCCAGCTGTCTTCCTCCTCCACTGGGCTCCTGTTGGCACAGGCTGCCTCGTGCTCCTCCAGCTTTTTGATGGGGACCACATGGCAGGCATTGTATTTGCAGCTGGCCATCTTTTTGGCTTTCTTGGGGTTCTTTTTCCTGCACGATGCCAGGTGGTACTGGAATCTGCTGAGTGGGACACGGTGGTGAGGGTCGTAAGGGCAAGTTTCTGAGGCTTCTGGCTCCATGACCAGTTTCTCTGGAAGTGGAGCAGCTCACCACCCAGAGTCAGAATGAAATGCCCCTCAGGGAAAAGTCCTTTGGCCAGAAGGATGGACCTGTCCTCTGCCTGGTGCTGGCCCTGGGGACTCTGTGGGCAAAGCTCTTAACTCGAGTTCCCTGCTCCCTGGAGTGGGTTAGGAGGGTGGGTTAGGAAAGGGCCGAGGGGCTGCCAGGAGCAGCTGCACAGCGGGCAGAGTCACCAAATGGCACGTGAGCCCGACGAACCCTCAACAGCAGAGTCAGAAACCACGGCAGCCCTGCAGGGAGGTGGAGCAGGTGTGTGCTGCCACCCCACCCCCTGTGGTTCTGAGCGTCACAGCGCGTGATGTCAAGGGGCCATCCGGGTGGTCACAATGGGCAGCCCGCGTCGCCAGGGGAAGGTTGCTTGCCCAGCACTCTCGGAGGGCGGGGAGGCTTTGGGGCAGCTGCCGTTTAAGGTCGGGACATCCGTTGTCATTTATCTGTCTTTAAACTTAAATATTTAACATAATTCCTGATATATTTGGGTTTAAATCGACTATCTTATTTTATGCTTCTTTCATGCTACTCTTTGGCTTATTTTCTCCTTTCTTTCCTTACTTTACATAGACAGTTTTAAAATATTTTTTGATGTTTTCCTACTGTTTTGTAAGTTATACACTTACCATTGGGTAGTGACTCTACCAGTTAAAACATTCATAGGCAACCTACCAGGATTTAAAGTTAGTACCAGTGTTTGTGCCCTCTGCTTGAATAAGGCAGGGCTGGGTCTTCGTTTGCCCCTCCTGACCGATGCGACCGCCCCGGGCAGCGGCGGGCTCCCGTGGCTTCGCAGTAGTTTGTATGGCAAAGAACACAGCAACTCGTCAATAGTAACACCAGGGTGCATTGTGCTCCGCAAACACACAACTGTAAAACCTGCTTTTGCCCGGCCTGTATCTGTAGCCTCAGTTTTAGAAATGCAAGAAGACTGTTGCTGTTGTCACTTTCCATCGTCATTGTGGTTTTCACTCCTCCTCCGTGTCTGCCCCGCCGGCCTTGGAGCTCAGACCTACCAGTGGGGGCACGCCGTCTCTGCTGGGAGTTTACCTTTTAGACTTTCCTCTTGACGTACTACTCTCTTGGTTTTGATTGTCTAAAAATGTCCTTATTCCACCTGGTTCTTAAAAGAGATTGTTGGTAAGTATAGCTGTGTTTTCTTTCTTCACATCGAAGCCAAGTTCAGTCTCTGCTCACCTCCATCCACCCTGTGGCTGAGAAGCTAGAACTCCACTGACAGCTGACTTCTTCAGAAGGCAACCGATGTCTCTTTGTGGATCTGCCTTAAGAATTTTTCTTTACCTTTGGTTTTCCTACGGTGTCCCTCTGATGTTGAACCGTGATTTTTGTTTCATTTCCTCGTTAGACCTCTTGAATCTGTGCATCAGTGTCTCCAGTTAGTCTTGGAGAACACTCAGCCATCATCCCTTCAGACACCACCTCTCCCCTTCTCCTCTACCTTCCCCGGAAATAATAGCTGTCGCTTCCACTGACAGTGCAGTGTCCAAAATGAGTCTCATGGCCACGCCTAACTTCCAGGGTCAAGGAAGCACTGTCCTATCGTGTATGCACAAGGAGGAGGATAGGAACTTTGCCAAGTGCCCTAAGAACGTCCCCAGCCTGTCCCCTTTGTCCCCAGCACTCATCTCTCTCTTCTGCACCAAGTACAAGGTAGCCACTCCTTCTCGAGGGGGAAAACCCAAAGTGGGGGGACATGGCTTGGTCAGTACTCACTGGGGCTCCCTGAGCTCTGGCAGGACCCTACTCTGGACTGGTGGCAATCCTCGTGGCGCCAAACAAGCTGTCTCCTGTGAGGAATGAGGGGTCCCTGGGATCACATTCACTTTACCAAACCCCGCCCCCGGCTGGCTCCTGCTCTGCTTTGCCGAGGAGGTGTCCTTGGTGAATTGTAACTTCCCCGTCGTTGACGTGACCGAGAGCCTGATTTCCCCGAGGCTGCGATCCAGCGTCGGAGAAACTGACACAGGCCCTCCCAGGAGGGACCAGGGGCTTGGTGTCTGTTCTTACCCAAAGCCCAGGGCGGTGCTCGTTGATGACACCGACGGTGCTTTTTAGATTCCAGCCCAACACCCCTCTCTCATGCCCACGACCAGGGCTGGCGCAGGCTCGGTAATTCAGGCATTGGTAAGAGCCTGTGAACGGGGACAGTAACGACAGCCCTCATCTGTCATTAAAATCCATGTAGGAAGGGCAGGCATTGGCCATAGTCGGCTTCTGGGCAGCCAAGCACCCATTAGCATTGTGACAAGCCAGCATTCAGCCCATTATGGAGAGAGGGGAGGCCGGGCTTGCTAATGCTTCTAATGGATGTCTTGAATGGTCCTCAAGCCTGCAGCCTTCTCCCAGTATCTGTTCCAAGACTGGAACCTGACAGGTCGCTCACCATGGCAACATGAGGAGAGAGAGGGATGCAGACAAACCTGTCCGTGCGGGCATGGCTGATATTGCAAGTGAGGTCAGGTCTGCTCTCTGCTCACATTCTGCACTCCGCCACTGCAACACTGATCATCTTGAGAGATGCTGCCAAAAGATGGTAATGCAGGCACAGAGGGGAAAAGGTCACAGAGGATGCGGGAATGATGTTTTCTGGACATGAGAGACGGTGTGCCCTGGCCAGCCATGCTGCAGTCGTCAGGATGAGTGAGGATGGAGCCGTTGGAAGATGAGAGCCACTGTGAGTCTGAATCCTTCAGGCGTGGAGAGACTTCTAACATCGAGGCCAGCCTCTGTCCCAGAGCTGGTGTCCCCTCCAGAGCAGCCCCACAGGACGGTCCTGCAGTGACAGGGAGCTCCCTGCCTCCCCAGGAGGTCCGCCATTAGGTGTCTCACTCTGAGCCAAGTTGACCTGGCTCCTCCCGGCCTTTAGCAGGTGGAGTCAGCTGCACCCCAGGCTCTGGGACTGTCCTGCACCATGGAAGGTGACCCCAAGCACCCCGACCTCATGCAGTACGTGTGGGGGGCCCTGGGGAGGGGTGTCCACCCCACTTCTGGTCCCTGGTGTCTCCTTGCATGTGCAGCTGATAGGTGTGGACAGCCTCCATGGCCCCTCTGAGCACTTGAGTTCTGGTCCCTGGCTTCCTCACGCTGCCCTCTACAGGCCGCTTCATGTTCAAAGCTGCCCTGGTCTCCACCCACTGGGCCTCCAGCTGCCCTGCGATTTGAGGCTCTTATTTTGAAAAGGTGCCGTGTCTCTGTGCAGAGCTTCTCCATAGGGACCCCTGTCCATAGGGACCATGGGATCCCTTGGATGCTTGGCATCTTAACATTTGGTGACATTTGTCAAGCTTGTGTGTCACAGCCATGGTGGATTTGAAAATGAATCAGAATGCATTCTATTTTTTTTTCTGTTTTCTGGATGGTTTAAGGAGCTTAGAAACATTCTTTGAAAGTCTGAAAGAACTTTTTTACTACATTCTCTGATCCCCTCCCCCCCCATCCTTTTGGGAAATATTAGTTCTAGGTCCATTTTCAAGTTGGTTTCATGGTTTTCTACCTGTCTTGGCAATTCCCGTTTTTCTAGAAAAATATGCTGTTATCGAATGAATTGTGCCCCCTCGCCCCGCCCCCCCAACAATTCATATGTTGAAGTCCTAACCCCATTGTGACGTATTTGGAGAGGTGGTTAGGAAGTAAATAAGATTAAATGAGGCTGTAAGGGTGGGGCTGCCGTATAATAATTGGACAGGTGTCCTTACGAGAAGAGGAAGAGACACAGAGATCTCTCTCTGTCCCCGGGAGCACAGAGGAAAGGCCACGAGAGGACATGAGAAGGGGGCCATGTGCAAGTGGGGAAGACAGGTCCCACCCCAAACCAATCCTGACAGCACCTTGACCTTGGACTTCCAGCCTTCAAATCTGTGAGAAAATGAGCTTCCGCTGTTGCAGACGCCCAGCGTGTGGCACTCGGTCACGGCAGCCAGAGCAACGACAACAGAGGTGCTCTCCACCGAACACCCCAAGTAACTAGCACGCCGGAAGCATTCAGGGTTCTCCTTTAATCTGAACGCCCTTCTCTGCGCCTCTGGCGGAGTTTCCTTGACTTTCCGGGTGTCGAGTTTTTGTGCTCCTCCTCCTCGCTGTCTCATTCGCTTCCCGCCCCCTCCCTTTATGGGGCCTTTACAACTCCAGGTATCTTACAGCGGTTACAAGTAGCCAATGCTTAGATGGACCCTTTCTACTGAGTCCTTTATTTTCCACTTTATTAATTTTTACCTTTACTTGTAATTCTCTCCCCGGGTTGATCGAGTGGCTCGTTTTCCAGCTTCCAGAGCGGGACGCGGGAGTCACTCCCAGCCTTCCTGGTTAATGACAGAAATGCGCAGAGCCCCGGGGAGCACTTTGGTTCCGTTCCATGAATTTTGCAGTGCGCAGTTCCAATTGTCATTATGTTCCAAATGGCCAATAATTGCAGTTTTCTTTTTCCCCTCTTTGACTTGAGTTGTTTAGGGATAAATTTCCCAGTGATTAAATTTTTTTTGTTTTGTTTATTCTTTGGTTTCTAATTCCTGATTTAATGGCATTGTGGTCAGATACTGTGGCCCGGGAAGATTGCTTGTTCGTGCCGCTGAGGTTTTCTTTGTGGCCAAGGACGTCGTCAGTTTCAGCTGTTTCCTTACAGATGTTTGAATTAATTGTCGTTTGTTTGTGTGTATTTATTACACGACGCCTGTTTTTCCCAGGGGACGTTCCTTGCACCCCGAGTCCTACAAAGCCACCGTGGGAACTGCAGTCACTCTGTGTGGCTTCAATGATAGCGATGAGTTCCCCCACAGCTGTGGCAGCCAGAGCCTGTCGGCCCCCCTGGGGAATCCCCGTGTCCGTCAGCGTGATCCAAGAAGTCCTAAGAAGGCTAGACGGCCAGTGTTCCTTGGTTTAATTCCTTGTTTTCTGAGTGCAGTGTTTGCTCCTTAACACCTCACACCACCTC